GCTTTCATTCGCCAGAGATTTTGTCAGCTCTTTTTTTTATCTTTAAAATGTTTATTTTAATAATTGAAATACCATAAAATTATAATAAAGGAAGAGTTGCATTTAACAAGTATGAATTATCTTTTACAATTCTCAGTTTAATTAATAAATACTAGAATTGATTATCTGATAAAACTGCTATTTGAAAGTCATACAGTGGGCTAGCTACCTAGGATGGCATCTAGGGACACTATGGAAAAGAGAGAAAAAGTAGGAAGTGTATGGCATCTTTACTGAAGTGAATAAGGCTGCTTCTCACGTAGTATAAATTAATATTAATTGCTAACTCCTAGAATTACATCTGGCTGCATAATTGTAGGGCGGTGCAAAATGAAAATTCAGGGTCCTTTGTTAAAAAGGTATTAATACTTTCAAAGAGGCAAAAGTGCATTAAATCAAACATGCAGCTCTTCTGAGCACAGGAGCTTCTGTGACTGTGCAGGGCACACACCTGTGAGGCTAGTCTGGACTATAGAGCTTTGATAGGTCAGTCAATCTGAGAAAGGGACAAACTGGATCTGATTAAGGAGGCAGTGTTTTCCTAAATCCAAAGGCAAGTGGCAGTTTGGCCCATCAGTTTCCAGGGTAACCCTCCAAGGACTGTAGTTTAAATGCATCCCAGGAGATAGATATACAATGATTATTCAAATGACCTGCTGAGTAATGAGCTATGTTTGATCATTTGTTTGAGACAGCCAACACCTACTGTGCTGTAAATGCATGCTGATCTCTTGGAGACAGAGAAAAGTTGTAAGGATTATTACTCTAATCCCTTGTATTAAAAAGAAAGAAAAAAAAAAAAAACTAGGTAGTATAAAATAAATAAGACAGAAAAGAAGCTTGTCCAGGGAATTTTCTCTAAATATTTAATGAAAGGAAATTAAATTAAAATCACTAATGCAAATTGATAAGTCAACTATGCTATGTTTGTGGGAAAATGCACATGATGCAGATCACTTCTAGGATTCGTTCTGCTTACTCACATATCAATGCTTTCATGTACTCAGGGATTTATTATCTGTGTACTATAAATGAGGAAATTGAGGGTTAGTAAAAGAAAGTGACACCGGCAATGTCAAAAGCTTAGTAAGCAGACAACTGGATCTAAAAAAATAACTTGCACTTATGGAGGGTACAATCCGTAGCATTAACATTTTGGGCAATTTCTGTATATTATTCATTTAATTAGGACTTCTTCAAATGGAAGTTAACACACATTTTATGAGTTGAAAATTCTTCCCTTTGGGACACCCAGAAAGCAGCCCCAGACTGAGTTAAATTTGTGCTAAAATGATGTCAGAAATTATTTCTTCTTCTTTCAGTTCTGCTTTCCTCTGCATCACTAGTTTTCAAATGGCATCTCTTCATGTAGTAGCAAGTGTGGCTTCACTTCCTCCAGATGTGCAGGGCTTTCAGTCTCTCCCATACAAAGAAACTCCCACTTACCTAATTCCCAGAAAGAGATACCCCTGAATTGTTTCTATGCTTAATTCTGTGTGAATTCCAGAGGCAAGGGTGTGTCTCCTGGAGCTCAAGGTGTTGTTGCCAAAAAAAGGAGACATGATTCTGGGAAGGCTCTAGCAACATATATAACAGATATCTGTTATTACCTACATTTTACACACAAGGCAAGCAAGGCTTCAGGAAGAAGGGACTTTGCTTCATTGTAACTATATTGTAGTCATGTCCTTTTCCCAAGTGGATGAGAGCAATATCCCAATTCTACAGAGCAATAAAAAAAGATTTATAGTTATGAGGACATCCAAAGAATACCATTCTCACCACCTCTAGAAGTAAGACATTTGATGACTGTATTATCATCTTCAAACGAAAGGGTACAGAGATGGCTTTATGTAGACATAAGTAATGGGGAGTTTTATGGCCATTCTGGAATGCATATCTCACAATGACTAACATTTTAATGGGAACACACTTACTACTCAAAAAACCATAAATTCTAGACTGTGAACTTGTGAGTACTATGCTTATTTATCTTTGCATCTATACTATCTGACTCACTTAAGGCATTCAATAATTTCTTGTTGAGTCAGTGAGTAAAAATGGATGGATGATAACTCAAGTCTACTTATGTTTTAGTAGTGAATAATACAACCTAAGGATGTCATTAAAGTATTTTCTATATAGGGAATTCATCATTACAAGCAACATAAAAACTATTCAAAATAACAGAAAAGCAATAAATAAAAGTGATATTCTACCTTCTCTACCTTTTATTGTGAATTAGTCAAAAAGGGTTTTCATTCTTTTAATAGCTCATTTTATAGTTTTTCTTTGCAAAATATTTTATGAATGGTAAGAATATAGTATCTTTAATGTGACTCCTTCCAGAAGAAAATGATAACATATAAAGTTTTATTCTCATAATAAATTAAACATTAAGTGAACAAAATTTAGCACTTGCTAATTCTTTTTTTTTCAGTGTTTTTTTTTTCTTTTTTTTTAACTGACAAGTAAAAACTGTGTATATTTTTGATGTTCTGTATGATGTTTTGATATATGTATATATTATGGAATGGCAAATCAAGATAATCACTCAGTTCTTTTCAGAGCTGGTAGTTCTATCTTTGAAAACCATTGCAATTGGGATAAACTTTTGGGCAATTTTTTTTGAAACTATGCTTATACCCAGCTTCTGTTCAATCTCTACCCAAGAAAGAAGTCATTGCTGTCATGGAGAATGGTAGCAATCCTTATGAACAGCAGCAAGAGACCCTAAAATTCCTCTTTTTTAAAAGAATGTGACATTTATGATAACGTGACCTGAAGCAAAGATATTGTACCCCATCCCCAATAATTCATTCAAGAAGTATTCCACGGGGCGGTGGGGGGGGGGGGGCTGTATGTACATACACCCACACACAATAGCAAACAAATCTTGATGTAGTTGTCACAATTCCATCTTTTTTTTGATTAGTGTTTTTGTTTTGTTTTGCTTTTTTGGTATGTTATATTCCCCTCGATGTCTGCTCTGCTCATTGTAATGGATTGTTTATACAAAGTGAGGAGTACTCCCAGCCACATTGATCCATTTTCAGTTGTGATGTATCTCTGCACAGCACCCCCAAGAGCTTCCCCACTTCCAATACATTACTTATCTTCCTAAAAGACAGGGACAATTCTAAGGCAGCTGCTCAATGAATCAGAAATTTCAGAGATTTAAAATTATTCCTGGTGCCTTCAAAGCTTTGCAAGTGATGTTTTTTAGTATAAATAGTGGATTTTAAACTATAGAATGAGCTTTTAAACTTCTAAGATCATGCACTCATATGCTGAACCCTCACAGGTTTTAGAGATTATTCTGGAAACCTCTTTCTGTCTCACATTTTTCTGTGTAATCTTGTAGTTTAGTAAGTTTTTATATTTTTAGTTTCCACCATTTTATTTGTTTTTTATTGGGGGCGGGGGTACCGGGATTGAAATCAGGGGCACTCAGCCACTGAGCCACATCCTCAGCCCTATTTTGTATTTTATTTAGAAGCAGGGTCTCACTGAGTTGCTTAGCACCTCACTGTTGCTGAGGCTGGGTTTGAACTCCTGCTTCAGTCTCCCAAGCCACTGGGATTAAAGGCGTGCACCACCACACCCAGCTGTTTCCACCATTTTAATGTTGAGTTTTCTATTAAGATTTTTTTTTTTAGTCTTTCAATAAAGTTCGTAAAGAATAGACTGTAAACAAAAAATGGGATCTTTTGTGTCAGGGTGACTCTTGCCTGTGGACTAGAAGCCAATCTGAGATGGAAGATTTGAGATTTGTAGTATTAATCACTAAATGATTCTTAGTTACAAAGTACTATATTATTTAGTTCAACTCTTCTTATCAATATTTTTAACAGAATTAAAAAGTGCTGCATTATCTGTTGATAATAATACATATCTATAAATCATGAATTCACAGTGATAATTTGAAAGAGTAATAACTTGATGTTTATGATGCAGCTCATTAATAGTTTTAATGGAAATATATTTTTACTTCACCACATTACTCACAACTTTAATCTCACATGACTAAATCACAAACAGGTTTTTATAGAACTAAATTCACATGCTTGGAAGTGTACCATAATAGTAGGTGTGTAAAATGTTTATGTGATTATATGAAATTATCTCAATTGTAAATTTTGATCTAAGTAACATTTTCTGTACCCATTACACTTATTTAGGCATCAGTGTTTTTGTCAGTCTCTAGGAAATGTGAGTAAATTTTGTGTTTGCTTTAGTTGGTTTTGCCCATCTAGCTTCACAATTTCACCCGCATTTTAAAACATCGAAAATTTTTTTTCCAAAAGATAAGTGAATTTGTGGAAACAGTATGATTATCCTATATGTAGGTATTCACACCTGAATAAAGCTGTAGTTACATTTCTATTTAGAACCTTAGTTTGAAATGTGAGCGAAACTTTTTACCATGTCTAAACATACAGCTACAGATCAAATGTCAATTTTCTAGTACTAGTAATTTATTAAATTATTAATATAAGTATTTGTTTACAGAAATCTTTCTTCAGATAATGAAGTCATTATGTTCCCTTACTAACAAAATGGCTTTAGCATCAATTGACAAGGTTACTCTGGAGAAGCAAGTAATATTCGTAAGGACCAAACTTAAAGTTATACATTATGTTTCAAGAATATATAGTTTATTTAGAACTGTAGATTACAGTCATTTGGACATTCTTACCTTCTGTCATAGTTTTTCCTATACCCAATTATGTGCAGGATATAATATGTTCATACTAGTTCCTTTTGAATGTTATGTAATCTCAATTTAACTATATGAGATTTGGAATAAATTCCATGTAGTTGCTCAACCTTCAATATATTTTTGATGACCAAGTACATAAATAATAAGTTCTAAGCCAGTAGTCTTATGTCTAAATGCCTTTCTTTCCCCTAAAAAAACCCATTATAACATGTCATTTTTTTTTCTGTTTTTAATTTAGATCGGGGGACTGTACAGAAGGTGGTGGTCCTTCCCAATAACACCTCCACCAGTGGAGAGCTCATTCTGGAGGAGCTGGAAGTCTTTAAGGTCTGATCATCACTTCTGTTAATCTCAGAACATGCAAGAAAAATGCAATTCTTTAATCTTACAGCCACTTGAGAGGAAAAAAATATTTTATAAAAGATCAAATAAATGAATGTCATAAATTTTTCAGGGTAGGAAAACATCAGATAAAATGAGAAATATAGAACAAATATTTTTGTGAAGTATTTTCTTACACTTCAAGTTATCTTAACATAGAAGGATTCTTTTTTTTTTCCCCCAGCTGTCATCACAACTAGAAGAATTTTGGTCATCATTATTTTTAAAAAATGAGTTCTTGTGGTCAAGGTCTACAAGGCTTGGCCATGAAAGAGCTTTTATCATTTTCTTCACAAGCCACTGAAACACAAATGCTTTCACATTATTGATTGTTAGATAAACTTTCTCATATTTTTGTGACCAGTAAGTTCAAGAAAAACTGCTTTTTCTCTTGATTTATTGCTTTTAATTCAAATGTCACTCTTTTTTAAACATTGTTGCACTTTGCTTCTTAATGTTCTATCATCTGAATTTGAGATTTTATTGTTTTATTCTAGTTTTCCTTGAACTTGGGATTTAAAAAAAGTAGAAGAATAACAGACAAAAAAAAAAAAAAGGAAAGGTACATAGGGGGAAGTATAGTTCTTTAAGATCTCACCTGGTTGGGGGAAAGGACCTTGTTCTGTTCTTTTTTATCTTTGGACCTGGCTAGCCCTTTTCTCCTTATGGTATCAGCCATTGGAGTTAAAGTGGTCTTTCTTATCTATATTTGGAAAGGTGGGAAAAGAACAGAAGAAGGATTCATTAGAATAACAAAGCAACTGTGGAGTGGATTCAATCCTGCTGCAGACCTTTATTTCAGCTAAACCAACTAAGAAACAAAGGCTCAGGAAATCAAAAAGATCACAGTCAACCTATGACTGAGTAGAAGCAGCCCTTCAGAAATCTGAGAAGCAAAATATTCCTAATCTAATGAATTGCGTGGCTGGGTTGAGTGAGTTTTAGAAAGTCATGACTCATTGGTACACATGCCCATGGTCACTAAAAATGCTGAATTGTAAGTATATAAATGGTTAAGATATAATGCTTAGATTTTGCTAATGTTAGGTTTTGCTAATAAATTTTTAAAATAAAGAAATACAAAAAAAAAAAAAGAATCAAGTGAAATGAAGATGTGAGAAACTCTGCCAGATTTCTCGGCATGTTATGAAATTTAGAGTTTAATGCCCGGCTCTTTGGCATTGGATTCTTCAGGTAACTATATTAAAATTGTACTCCTAAAATAATATCACCTGTATCTGTTCAGTTTTTCCAAATTGATTGTTTCACTAGATTAACCCAAGTTGCATTATGTAGACAGTTTTGTCTTTTTGTCTCATACAATGTAGTAGAGACAACTTGACTAGCCAATATAATATAATGTACCCTACTCTGGAGTTTTCTGAAGATAACATAGATGCCATATTGTTGCACTTAATTTAAAACACTTAAATGTCTTGTATTTAATCAGTAAATGTTAATTGAATTTAACACAAACCCAAACATATCTGTATGGAAAAGTCTTAAAGAAATGTGAGTGATTCTATCAAGTGAGAAGTACTTATGGTCTGTTATGTGAATTATGCTGTTGTTATCATCAGGAAGAATAAACTCTCAGGGGAAAATCAGAATCAGTCAGAATGCATGTGGGGGACATCAGCCCAAGAGAGCCACTAAAGCATATTTGAACTTTCATACTGACACGTGTGCCGGTGATTCATATGGCTAAATCAAGAGATACAGTTACCAAATACACTAACTGTCATCAAAATGGTGTTCTTGTCACATTTTCTTGATGGAGGTAAAAATAATTGGGTTTTGTGATATACCATTTGGGGTATGTAAGGAAATAATGTTATTTAAATTGAAAAAACAAATCCTAAGTCTAATGGTCTGCAGAAACATCAATGTAACTTTTAAAAACCTGATACTTTGTTTTTATATGATGAAGAATCATAATCTTCTCTTTTATTTTTATTATTATTATTTTTTAGAAGTAGAATTTGATGATGTTTTTATTAGTTACACATGACAGTACAATGATCTTGACATTTCATACATTTGAATCAAATGGGGTATAATTTCTCATTTTTCTGATTGTACAGGTTGCAGAATCACATTGGTCATACAGTCACCTATATACATACAGCAATAATAATGTCTATTTTATTCTGCTGCCCTACCTATCCCCTCTTTTCCTCCCCTCCCCTCCCATCATTTCTCTCTACCCATTCTAATGTGACACACTTTTTCCCCCCTCACATCATCATACTTGTATTCTGTATAACGATGAGGGTCTCCTTCCATCTTCCGTGCAATTTCCCTTCTTCCTTCTTTTCCCTCCCACCTCTCTTCCCTATTTAGTGGTAATCTTCTTCTCATGTTCTTCCTCCCTATCCCATTTTGAGTCACCCCCTTTATATCAGAGAAGACATTCAGCATTTGTTTTTTAGGGATTGACTAACTTCACTTAGCATAATCTGCTCTAATGCCATCCATTTCCCTGCAAATGCTGTGATCTTGTTATTTTTTAGTGCTGAGTAATATTCCATTGTGTATAAATGTCACATTTTTTAATCCATTCATCTATTGAAAGGCATCTAGGTTGGTTCCACAGTCTAGCTATTGTGAATTGTGCTGCTATAAACATTGATGTGGCTGTGTCCCTGTAGTATGCTCTTTTTAGGTCTTTTGGGTATAGTCCAAGAAGGGGAATAGCTGGGTCAAATGGTGGTTCCATTCCCAGCTTTCCAAGGAATCTCCATACTGCTTTCCAAATTGGCTACACCAATTTGCAGTCCCACCAGCAATGTACAAGAGTACCCTTTTCCCCACATTCTTGCCAGCACTTGTTGTTGTTTGACTTCATAATGGCTGCCATTCTTAAAGGAGTGAGATGGTATCTTAGAGTAGTTTTAATTTGCATTTCTTTGATTGCTAGAGAAGGTGAGCATTTTTTCATGTATTTGTTGATTGATTGTATATCTTCTTCTGAGAAGTATCTGTTCAGGTCCTTGGTTCATTTGTTGATTGGGTTGTTTATTTTTTGTTGTTTAACTTTTTGAGTTCTTTGTATACTCTAGACATTAGAGCTCTATCTGATGTGGGAGGGGTAAAAATTTGTTCCCATGATGTAGGCTCCCTATTTACCTCACATATTATTTCTCTTGCTGAGAAAAAAACTTTTTAGTTTGAATTTGTCCCATTTGTTGATTCTTGGTTTTAACTCTTGTGCTATAGGTGTCTTAGTAAGGAATTTGGGGCCTGCCCCCACATGATGGAGATTAGGGCCAACTTATTTTAATACTTTTTTTTTTTTTTAAATTTAAACTTCTCCGTATTTTATGAAAATCAGTTATGGTTCCCTAAGCTTAAGTTTAAGGTATGACTATTAGTAGTTGCCTACATGGCTATAAGCAGCAACCCTTTGTGGTGTGTGTGTGTGTGTGTGTGTGTGTGTTTATAAAGGACAATCAAAGATTAATGCAATTGAGAGTTAAAGATGTCACTATTACTTTTTCTAAGTGTTTGTAAATGCTTGTAACTCCAGGAAGCACAAAAATTTGGGTTACTTTAGATTTTGAGAGCTTGCAACCATTTAAATTACCCAAATAAATCGTTAAGGTCTCCCTCAGGTTATGAGAAATTTAACTTTAAGTTTAAAAGGACTAATAATGTTTATTAAGTAAAGTTATGAATAGAGTGACATTCAAAAGACTTACTATTTCAGAAAATTCTTATGTTCTTTCACTCATTCACACTTACCAAAAGAAACTCTTTGCTAACAACATTCCTTTGTTTTCAACAATGAGAATTAATTAGTATGGTTCAGCCTAATACATCTTTCCAAAACACTTTTGGCAGGTAAACAATAGTGTCTTATGCAGGGTACTATGGAGAAGTCAAATGAGGTGCACAGCCTCCCCACCCATGTACCCAGATCCAATTCATATGCAATGTTTCAAGATACACTTTTCTTGATTACCTCAAGTTTTTCAAACTTTTCCGTTTTCTAATGCCTATAATGATAAATGTGTTATAATTACTGTTTTTTTTTTTTTACAATTTAGGCATGCATTATATGACAAAGCCATTTCTAGTCCCAAAAGAGAAATGTACTTTATTGAAAAATATATACATGTAGTGAAAAATAATGAGATTTTTGAGTTTTTATGAAAAATTTAATGTAAATGTGTTTTAAGGATCACATGAGAAACTAACATGATGTTTTCTATTCTTTTAGAATCATGTTCCCATAACAACAATGAAAATCTCATCCAAAAAGGTAAAAAAATAAATCAGTTTGGTGTTGTTTGCATACTAAGCTATTTTGCCATTATGAAAAATACATTTTATAATTCCTGAGAAACTAGTTTTACTATCAACAAAATAAATGATACTAGTTAAAGTATATCATAAAATCACCTTTATTTTGATGTGGAATTTAAAAGGGTTATTTTTATGGAAATTTACAATCTGTGATTGTAAGACTGAATTTGTTTATTTTTGTATAAAAGTTCATCAGAGCAGAACATATATACAGAAAGATAGTCCAACATTTTGTATATCTTATATTCTCAAATATTACAGTGTGTAAAGCCAACTAAAATAAAAAATAATCTTTTTGAAGGAAGAACTTAGCATAATGTTTGAGCTACTATAATATCACAGCATTCTCAGGGGCTTGGAATGAGTAATCAATCCACTTTTGAGTGCCTACTGCTGTCACATGCTTGAAATGTGCAGTGCATTCTCTAAGGGTTATTTTTAAGGAAATATTATTTCCTAGGGCTTATACATGTCTAAAAAAATTGAATGTCTCAAAACTAAGGTCTCAGGATTATAGGAAGAAATGTTTGACTATGGTTATCAGAAATCTTCTAATTAATTTGTTTTTTCCTTCAGAGGCAAACATATGGTGATCTACATGTACAAAATACACACCTGTGTAGCACCCAAAGTTGTTATTGTAAAAGTTCTAAGCGGGCAGAATAGTGTGGTCAGAATGGAATAAGTTTCAGAGTGGAGTTGTGATGCTTTGGAATCCCAAGCTGACTGTAAATTTTGGACAAATCATTTAATTTCTCTGTCCTAGGTTTCTACATCTGTAAGGTAATGCCTTACTCCACAAAGGATTTGATTTATATAAATTGTCCAAAATAATGTGAGTCCTCAGCAAATGCTATCTGTCAAAGCCTGCGACTTATTTTTCTTGGAATCCAGAATAAAGATTTTATGTGTTTGCACAACTGATTACATAATTTTAGTGGTCTTTGCCACATTTGGTCTGTTAGAGATGATGGAGTATTGCATAGTTAGTCTTGCATTCTTTTCACTTAACTAAACTTTATGAGAAAAAATAAATAAGGTACAAGGGAGCTAAAGATCTCATCTGTAAAAATGTTTGTGTGGTGCATAGCAAACATTTTCCCAAGTAACAAGAAGCCATTTGTCATTTTGTCTAATGTCCTAGGGTGCTGATCCCAAGTCAGAATTGTCTTTGAAGTCTGCAGGGAACCCCTTTGTTTACAGCAATATAATGCAAAGAGAAAATATAGAAGCAAAATTCAAAATGGATACAAAACCATTTGTGTGGCATCTCAGTCTTACATGAAATTACAGGTTTCAACTTATTTGTAGTTCTCATAGTACATTGGCTTCCAATGTCTTATATTGTAGATAGTTGAAAACATCTCATTACAACAGTTAGATACAAGGCAGGGGTGCTTATTTGACTTTTTAGAATTCATTTGCATAACAGCTTACTGCATTATTTATTCAAGTGAGAAGACTGAAAATGTGAAGGACATTTTATATATGTTTAAATACCATGAATTTGCTACCTTTCCTGATAGTCAATCTATTTCATTAATTCATTTTATGACATTATTTTCAATTATTTTTGTACTTCAAATAACAGAAAATAATTGGATTAATAAAAAGTGAATTATCTAGGATGAAACTATGTACATTCTTTTCTTAGCTAAACTAATGTGCTTTAAACATTTTAATGAAGCTGGTACATTCACTATATAATTAATTTACTCAATAAACATTTGTTTCAAATGTTCCTGGACAGATGTTTATTGTTAAAATATCCAGTTATGTTCTTGTAATTTGAACATTTAAATGGCAATCAATCAATTTTAGCACAATTTCAAAAAAATCAATCTATCTGAATAAAATAATTATATTAGATATAATAGAATGAGGTATAATTTAAATGATTTAGTAGAATTGAAAATTTCTGTTGATTTGTATTTTCCTGCTACTACAATTAATTAACATTCATTGAACACTTACAAGAGACAAACTGTTCCAAACATTTTATGTGTTGGGAGCCCCTACAACATTTATGTCTTACAAAAACTATGGGCCAAGTACTGGATTATCCCAATTTCAACAATAAGAAAACTGAGATTCAGAAAAGTTACATAGTGTGTTTGTGGCTGAGCTGAGATTGGGACCCAGGGAGTCTGCCCTACAGAGCTTTTAGAGCCTGGTCAACCAATACGTTCAATTCTTAAAAGTATATGTATATATGGGAGATGCTCCCTCACATCTACATCTGTTCAAGTTCCAGCTTAGAGATTCTGTGCTGACTTGAATTATATTCTATCTGTCATTTGGAAAAGAAGGAGTGTCACTTAGATGCTCTTTCCATCGACTTCTGAGAACATTTTTATGCACAGATAAAGGCACTGGAGTTGTACGCTCTTGACACCCCACAAATGAGGGAGGATAAAATATTTATTCAAACTTCCCTGAGGTGAGGTAGGTTACTGGGTCATGCAGAAAGTCTAAGATATGTTTAAATGTAAATGCTGACATTCTCCCAAATAATTTTAAAATAGTTTTAATGAGTACTGTGGTACTTTTGAAGACATTTTTCTTCATTCCATCTAATATTTACTATCTGCTATTTTTCTTCTAAACTTTAAATGTCCTTTATTTTTTTTTTATTTTCTGTTAAAGTACCCTTTCTTTTAAACCGGACATTTAAAAATTTTCGAAGTAATGTGTTGCCAGACTTGAAAAATGAGAATACTTCCTTGTGCTTTGCTGAGAGCATTCAGAGAAAAGAAAACACTGTAATTTAAATCTACAATATATTAGCTCACATCTGAGTGAACAATGAATCCCAATGTCTAAAATACATTACCGTTGTACATGGTGCTCTGAGCTTTTCTTTTTTAAGCAGGAAAGTGGTAATGGTATAGGCATATTAACATAAGAAAATTCTATTTATTTTGGCTTATATCCTTCTGTGCTTTGCTTCTCATTTTTAGTCTGTTTCTAAATGAATGCAAGGGTTTCTGGGCATACATTATAATGTATTCCTGCTGAAAGTCTTCTAACTTCCACATCTGAAATAAATCACCATCATTCCTCTTACAGCAACAGTTGTACGTGAGCTCCAATGAAGGGATTTCCCAAGTGTCCTTGCATCGCTGCCACATCTATGGGACAGCCTGTGCTGACTGCTGTCTGGCAAGGGACCCCTACTGTGCCTGGGATGGCCACTCTTGCTCTAGATTCTACCCAACTGGGAAGCGGTGAGCACTTAACATTCAACTTAAAATCGATGTCACCAAGAGTACAGAAGTGCTCCATGTTGTTAGAACCACTTGTATTGCTGTTTTCTTAAAAAATGACACTAAGAACAGCAGCTATGTTCAGCACCACAAATGGTGTTTAAATGAAGAAAATCCCATGCTTTAATAACTTGAGATTCTCCTTCAAAGCTCCTCTGCAAATGTCATCTCCCCAGGACCCATCAAATAGTTCAGAAAGTACTTATTTTTAATTTTAATTTTAATTGATATCTTCCTTTGTCCTATATGTTTCAGTATATCCCTACATCCCCTAATTACCTTAAAATCAAATGTTTGTTCTCTAAGAAACATAAATTAATTGGATTAATGAAAAACATATATTATCAAAAATGAAACGAGTCATGTTCTTTAAGCTGCAGAACATTGTGCCAGCAAAGTACCCTGATTTGCTTTATAAACCTTGATAACCATGCTCTTCCCCTTTGAGTAGTGAATGCATGACTACTGATTAGATTAAGAGAGAAAAGCATTAGCAGATACCTTTAATCTGGGGAAGACATAAGCAAGAAACACTGCATCAATTTGCATTAAGTTGGAAGGGACTGACTACCAGTTGATAAATAGATAATATAACAAAGAACAAGCAGATTTCAGGACCAGCCAAGGTAACAGCTATTTTCAACCATCCTGTGATATGAATTCCAATAGATGATAGGGACAACACCTATAAAACTTAGGGTCAGCAGAGGGAACAAATAACACCAATCACAAATACCAATGATCTTTTGAGTAAAGCGCAGGAGTGATGGTGTTTTATGGCTCTAATTCCTTGTAACAAATAAATTCCTATATGGATAGATTAAAATAACACTATGGAAGTACTTTCATATATCAAGAGTAGTTTGCTCCTTTTCACTAGTTCAACAAATATTTATCACTGGACAAATATTTTTCAAATATGTTTCCAGAAGTTGGGCATGTAACATGCAAAAAAAGCAACACAAAGACAAAAAATCTTTGAGTTCAGGTATAAAATATTCCAAAGGGAGAAAACAGACAACAAATGAATAAATAAAAACTTCTAATCTATCAAATAAGAATAAAGTCTAAGTATTTAAAAAGGCAGAGAAGGTAGGTAGAACATATGAGAAGCAGTGGTTTGGGACATTAGTGGGTAGCCAGGTAGGGTCTCACTGGGGTCATAGTCCTTGGACAAGACTTTAACACAGTGAGGATTGGCCCTGAGGCCTTATCTGAAAGAATAATGTTCCAGGAGTATACCGCGATTGTAAGAGGAACAGCACCAAAACTAAGGAGACTACCCTGAAATGAGAAAAAGGAATTAGGAAATGAGTCATGATACAAGATGATGGAGGACTTTATAAGTAGTTGAAAGGATTTCATTTATAATGAAACGTAAAATGTCAGGGTATTTGAGCACATAATGATATTATTTGAATTATGGTTTCTAAATGTCACTGGATGGGTTTGAATTGAATGGGAGCCCTGAAACAGGAAGAGATGGGGATGGGGAATGGGAGTGCAAGCTGGAAAATAGGAAGCTACTGTATTTACCCAGGTGCAATAGAACGGTGCCTTGGATAGGGATGATAGAGTGATAGCTGGTAAAATTGGTCTGACTTTATATCCTCAGAGAATCTGTAAATGTATTAGATATGGGAGGTTAGAAAATAAAGGAGTCAAAAACAATCCAAGTTCTCAGAACTGAGCATAAGGACATATGTAGGTGTCATTTCCTGAGAAAGGGGAGACTATGAGAGGAGCAGGTTTGTGGGGAGAAAGATGCTGTAAGTTAATGGTGTCCATCACACACTCAAGGGATGTTGAGTGGGTATTTAGAAACATGAATCTGGCACTGTGTAGTGGCCCAACCTGGATCATTTGAGAGTCTTCTGTGTTTGAAAGCAGCGATATAAAGAGAAAGCCCACTCTTTAAACCACAGTCTGTCATATCTGTGTTCAAAGACTTTATGTTCCTCTGTCATTTTAGGACATATTCATTAGATCGGTAACTTCTTTTGATTTCTGAATCAAATTCCAGGACCTCATTATCAGGCAATCTTTTATACCTACACTAGGCTGGAGAGACAGTACCTGGACACAAAATATGAGGGAAGCAAATTCCAAATGTAATCTCAAATTTAAAAATGGCCACTTTTCTGTTGGTATTTTTCAATCATATATGCTTTGCACTCCCAAATATAATAGCAATGATATTTTAAACTTATCACCATAACTAAGCACTCTAAAGGCAACAAATTTCTCTTGGTAAGGAACTCTAATAATTGGCATCTTAAACTCCTGGAATGCAAACTTCAGTCTGTCTCTTTGGTACTGAAGAAAGCTGAAGCATTGCCCTTTCCAAGGAAGATTGTTGTGAGGACTGTAAGTTGAATCTTACCATAGTCCTGCACATGTCATGTGAAGGAAATAGATCAGCACTTCTCTCCTGCAAAGACATTTGTTTTGACCGGCAACTGTTTTTATTTAGCAAACAGAATATTTCTCAAGTAAAATTTCACACCATGTATGGATTATAACTTCTGTTTCAGTTTTTTTTTTTTTTTTGTATTTTAGAAATTTCTATGAAATATATTCATATATTCTTTCACCTGTTTCAACCTGTTATTTTTCTGAGACGGATAAACACTGACTACAAATTGTCCTCCTACCATCACAAATTATGAACTCAATCATGTCTTTTTGAAAAGCAAAGAACTGAAGCTATCTTACATTCTTACTGTTCCAGTATTATAGTTGGTATTAAGCCATGTGTCATGGGATAAGAAAGCAATAATCACTTAAAGAACTATCTAGATCTCTCTGGCAGTGTCTTAATTCTATTATAAAGAGCCCAGAAAATTCAATCAATATATGCATATTAACATTTTTCTGTCTAACCTGTAACACAAATATTTGTGCATTTGTATCAAATATTTCACTTGAGTGTCTAATATTATTTACTCTGATTTCAGATATATCATTAGAAAATTTAAGATACAATTACCAACTCAATCTTCAAGTAAATATCTTTTCTATACAAGAAGAGAATTATTTCATTGTTTATCCAAATAAATTGACTATAATGACTCATGCCGATCACATCATATAAGTCAAGCCATGATAGTGTTTTTCTGTTTGGAATTTGAAACTGTAAATTCAGATTATTCAGCTTGAGAGTTTATATACTCTCAATGAGTAACCCATTACATAGTGGTGATCACAGAACAATAAATTTAAAGATTGTGAATGCCATTATTTGTCTAGAAGACTAAAAATGACCAGGTCATCCATAAGAACCTCCAGCGGTGTTCATATGATCACTTTCAAGTGGGCTGGTAGTAAATAATGTTGCAACTTCAAAATGTATTTTTTTTTTAATTTCTAAATTGACTACTTTATTACGTAGCTTTACTTATTATATAAAAATTTCTGACACAAGCAAATCATAAATTACCTTACAGCTTTGATGGAAGTCAAAATGTCATAGCCCAGGCTCTGGGTCAGACCCTGTGTTGGGTGATGGGAGTGCACATGGAATAAGGGACATATCTCTAGCCAGGAAGCAGAGAGTTGGATGGGGCCAGGCTTGCTCCTTATAAGAACTTCATCACATGAAATATAGGGGTTGTAGGAGAACTACATGATCTAAGGACTAATACTAGGCCCCACCTCTCAAATATTCCACAAAACCTCCCTATTCTACTATTCTTTTTTTTTTAATTTTTTATTGTTGGCTGTTCAAAACATTACATAGTTCTTGATATATCATATTTCACACTTTGATTCAAGTGGGTTATGAGCTCCCATTTTTACCCCATATACAGATTGCAAAGCAGTAAAACTGCACATTAGTTATATTTATTGCCATAAGAGTTCCTAACACTACCATTATTTTATGTGTATGTCTATATAGAAATATAAAATTGTAGAAGGAATGGGCACCCTTTTTGAGAAAGGAATACTTTAATGATACAAATATATATATATGTATTTCCATAAAGAGATGTATACAATATGTTGAGTACATAAAATATTAACTATTTCTGTAATCTTAAAATGAGATGTTACATTATTAATGACTTTGAGATGAATTTTGCTATGTAAGTTTAATAACTACACTGATTTTAATATTTCTGTTCATCTTGCTGAGTATTTTACTTTCGAAGATAAAAATGTTAATAAAGATTAACATATAATCCCATTAAGTGATATTCTCATTCATGCATAATTTTCATCAGTGTCAGGAAGCATTCACACATTTAAAAAGTACCCTTTCTTCTTACTTACGGCAATGTTCTTACCCACAATGCCTTACTCAGGAGATTTCAGTTGTTATATTTTGCTTTTTACAATGTGTAATACAATTGAAACTAGTATACTCAGCGAATCTAAGAATTATGAAATTAAATAATTAAAATGCAAATAACTTAAAACTTTTAAATAGCAACAATTTATGAAGACAATAGCTAAATTTTTAAAATGCTTGAATGAGTAACATGTCACTACTTAATGCAAAGAGTGAACTTTGGGTTCTGGATAAACTTTTTAAAAAACCCATAAAGGATATTTTGGGAACACCTAGGAAAATTTCAATATACAATGTGCATTAGATGATGCTAAATAAATTTTGATATTTTTAGTATTATAATCCTCCACAGGAAGATTACTTAGAAGATATGTGCTAAATTATGTGAAAGTACAACATGCTACAATTTATTTTCTATAGGTTTTTATATATGTGCATACACAGCATATGTTTGTATATCAGAGAGAATTAAATTGATGTGACAAATACAATAATATGTGAATCTAGGCATCTGAGTATTCATTATACTCATATTTTCAGTGTTTTTTTTTTTTTTTTTTTGGTAAAACTGAAATTTTTCAAAATAAAAAAGTTGAGGGAGAGTCTTAGAAAATAAAAAATGTTATTTACCCTTATATTAAATGTTAGTGTTTTATTGCCATATCACTTGTTTGAGAAAAGTTTTAATATATCTTTAAAGTGTTGACCTTTGTAAGAAAAGTATATTATGCCCTTCATAAAAGGAAAATAGCAGTGAGTTTATGCCTTGAAGGAAACATTTTAGAAAATTTTGAATGAATGACCCTAAAATAAAAGTTTATATGCTCAATTATGAAACCTAGTATTAACCCAGATAATGCATATAAAAGAAAACTCATAGCCATTCCACCACAAATGGTAGATGAGGAGGGATAGAATTTATTTAGATTGAAAAGTAAGGATTAGTACTCATCCAAACATTGATGTATTAAATGAGACATATCAGATACCTGCATCAGCTAATCAAGCATTTTTAATAAAATCTAAGGCAATCAAAAGTTTGTAAAATAAAAATGAAATATTTAGAACGTGGTACAATTGCAAAGATAATTTTAAGTCACTTTTGACACATTTCTGCACCTACAGGAGGAGCCGAAGGCAAGATGTGAGACATGGAAATCCACTGACTCAATGCAGAGGATTTAACCTAAAAGGTATTTAAAGTGAACAATGGTCAAACTTGGTAAATAAATCAGTATTTCACATCATATTTCAGTAAGGGGAACAATGCATTAGGTCCAGGCCTTTCATTTTAAGGAAAGTCAGTTCCCATTCATGACAGCAGTTGTTAACAGTATTCAGAACAATGGCAGTGGAGGTGCGGGTAAATATTGAGGATGATTTGTATCAGAACCTGAGTTTAGTACTTATCTTACTCAGTGTTCAAAAACTATACCAAAGTAGAATCTATTGTTATCCCTGCTTTATGAAGATTCTGTTCATGTTTCAACTACCACGTGATTATGTTAAATGCTTTGCCTAATTTAATACTATTTGTAAAAGTGCAAAAATACTATAACCCATGTTTTATAATTGAGTAAAACAAAGGAATAGAGAGATGGAATAACTTGCTTCAGTAGAGGTGAAGTCAGGATTTTACTCCTGTTCCTCTGATTCCAAGGACCATGTTTTCAGCCATTGCATTTAACTGGAGCCATGCTATAGTTTCTGCCCTTTTCCTGTGCTCCTGAATTTTCTCCATCCCATACTGAATATGAGTTTTGGGGAGGGACAAGCCTAGTTTTAGTATGGCCTCATAACTCACAGCCTCAGTTTGCTCAGCTGAGAACAAACAAACTGACAACAATGTTGTGATAAGAAAGCGTGCAAAGTGATGTTAAGTACGACCTTGGTGTAGGTTATTTCCTGAGCAAACCTTGATTCCCTCACCAACATAGCCTTGATTAACTTTTCTCTCTTTTTCTTGACATTGAACAGAATTGGTAAACACTATATACTTGTTTGCCTGTTAAGTGATCATCACCTCTGTTGGCTGCCATATTTAATCACAATTTTTCAGAGATCAGTATTGAAAAGTGTGCTCTAAATTCTGTTGTGTTCTTTCTTTTCTTTTTGCTCTTCAGCATATCGAAATGCAGCTGAAATTGTCCAGTACGGAGTAAAAAATAACATCACTTTTCTTGAGTGTGCCCCCAAGTCTCCACAGGCATCTATCAAGTGGTTGCTACAGAAAGACAAAGACAGGAGGAAAGAGGTGAGTAATGCAGCCCAGCAGCAATCAATCAGGGCTTTGCAAGGAACATTAAATCAGCATCCCTCAGTGAGATGCAGATCAAGTGAAAAAGGAAAGACATATGAACATCTTTTTATGTCATCTGGATGACAAGTGCCACCTTCTTTAAAATCCTTTGTCCTTAGAATTGATGGATTAATTAGAAAGCCTGTCTTTCTGCCTGCCCACCTCTCTAACACAGTGACTGAAACAAGAGCTTGGACACTAAGACAGTGGTGTTGATGCGAGGAAGCATTTTTAAAAGAAGCAAAATGTGTTCAAATCCAGAAGCCAAGTTCTCACACAAATGCACCTTTGTGTGACTCACAAGATAAAAAAGGGCTTTAAAAATAGTTCAGTATTCCCTAACAATGAATTACACTAAACTATAACCTATGGTAAAGAGCACTTTTCTTTTCTGCAGTAATGTTTCCATCGATTTATTATTCATAACTCTTGTGATTCACTCAGGCAATATATGAAATCATTGTTTATGAGACCATTTCCTTTATTTAGTGATATGGAAAAAAAAAGTCCAAATTTTCAAATAAAAGGACACTTACTATAACATTTCACTGATTGAAAAGAACTCTTTTAAAATAGAGGCGTTGTAAAATGGCATACAGTGATATATTGTAAACAATGAATTCCGTAAAACTGATGTCATGTTGTTCTGACAAATGAAAAGAAGAAAAAATGTATGTACATAAAAGTTTAGGGTAGTCTAAATTATACCATTGTTAGTGCACCAAAAAGTCTGATGGAGCCAAGGGGAGAATGGAGCCTCCTGCACTGGTGCATATTCTTCTGTTGTGGGGAAATTTACTTGTACATATGAAGTTAATTAAGGCTATGAAAAATGTATGTCCTCACAAGCTATAGAACAGGTATTGCATCTATTTTACTGAAATGCTAGTTTCCATACAGGCATATACTTTGCAGTTTTCAGACTTCCGTATCCAAAAGAGCTATGAGTAGCTTAGTGAATTCTGTATCCTGTATTACTGGAATATTAAACATAGACCAGTTACTGGAATATTAAACATAAGAGGACATTTAATTATCTGAAGATGCTCTAGATGTACTTAAGAGATCCTGCTTTCCCTGGAATTCTATAATAATTACAACTTTTTTAAATTAAAAATTATTTTGAGGTCTATTTTTTGCTGTAAAATGTGTCATCCAATAAGTCTTAGGATTTCTATAGTCTAATTAATATTAAATTATTTTGAATGGATATGGGAGTATAATCATAATTGCCTTGCAAAGTATCCTGGGTTAGAAATCACATGTGTAATGATGATTACCATATAGAAAGAGTTCATAGGCTAGGGCATGAACAGTCCTTCCAGAAAATGCCCTTATGAACATATACAAATTAGGTAACTAATTTTCAAACAAGTATTACCTAAAATGGATAAAAGATTTTTATTTTATTTAATAAAAAGTTCAATAGAATATTATACAAGTGAATATAATTTCTATGATTTAAAATCAATGTGTATATATATTTAATAGTACATTTAATATATACCACAGAAATTAATGATAAAATTTAAAATGGAATGTATGGTTTTAATTTATTTTATTTCAGAATGCTCAAGAATGTGGACTGAAATATTACTATTTTGTTTTATCTTTCAATTGCAAAGCAAGAATAGAATAATTTAAGATTTTGATAAAAAGTAATCAACTTAATTAATAATTTAATAATCACGAAACCATTCATAATTTAAGCAGAGCCTAGTTCTACATATATCTAACTTAAATAAACCCTTAAGAACTTATTAAATTATCCTGATTCTTACTATTTCAGGCCAACACATGCTTACTTCTCACATTACTGATGTATAAAAATTGAACTCTTTTCAAGTAACAGAAATGATAAAAGCCCAAGAAGCAAAATTCTAATAGTTCATATTGAAAAGCATAAAGTAAGAACCAAACATCTTCTTCCACTTTAATGCTTATTTCTACTTTTCAGAGTATAAAAGGTTATAAAGAGTAATAGATTCACCCATTTTATTATATATTCCTCCAATATGCTCTGTAGCCTAAAGTACACACACACACACACACACACACACACACACACACTTCAATGTCAATACATGTGGAGCTACCCTGGTTTTTTGTTTGTTTGTTTTTTTACTGAAGAATATTTCATTGGATGAATATACCTGAGTCATTTACTAGTTAGGTTATGTTTTGTTTTGTTTTTCTTATCAAAAGTAATACATAAACAAATATATGCATATTTGTGAGAATATAGTTTCTAGATAAATCTCTAGAAAATAAATTGCTGCAATAAATATTATGGGCATGTTTTATGGATATTATCATATTGGCCTCAAGAAACGTTTTTCAATTTTGCACATATAAGAAAGACTTTCTTTTCTTTTCATTAATTCTCAAATACATGTCGTCATTGTAAATCATTTTTGAGGCACAATTAAACTTCAAAACGTAATTAATGTCAAAAATTAGTTTCGTATCTCTTTGTAACGATTCTCTCTTTTCTATCTCCATTCTATTTCTATTGTCCACCTTTCATTATTACACTTTTACTTTTGTGATGGTTACATTTTATCCAAAACTATCAGTCTTTGGTTTAAACCTCATTAATAATAAAATATCTATTTTAACAGAATTTTATCATTTAGAAAAATATTTCTCATACATTACCTCTTTGATTTTGGTCAGATATTTTTTCCCTTAGGGAAAGAACATTCCACAGTACATATGGCAAGTAACATCTTGCCATGTTTGTGGTAGATTTTTATGTCTTCATTGATGGAGAACACTATAGCTGGAACTCTTTAAAGAACATGGATTTCAAGCATTTGGCTGATATTTGGTAATTTATCATTTTGCAGCCTAAGCCTAGACAGTAATTAAATATTAACCCATTGATTTTTATTGCCTTTCCTTCCAAAGTAAATCTACCTGGAAGATTTATAAGACAATGTACTTCCAGTTTATTATTAGACATCCAATAGGTAGGAAATTGCAAAAGGTAATGTAAATGTTCAAAATTCTGGTTTTGCTTATGTATTTTTTTATCTAGAACACTGATTCATTGACCAAAGAAGAAGAATCAATTCTTTTTTTTAGTGGCTTCATAATTTCACAAGTAAGTGAGTGTGTCAGTAAAAATGGAAGAAAAGAATTCCATGAAATTAATACTATAATTATCTATGAACTTCATTTTTATAATGTTGTCAGTGATACAGATACCAAAAGCAACCATAATTCTGTACTTGAATGTGATAGAACTGTTTCTATCCAAAGGTAACGTACTTTATTTTTCCAAGATGGATAATACCTTCACCCTCTCTTTAACAGATTGAGTACTTCTATGACAAGATCTATTATGCAAAAAAAGACAAGGGAACTGATCACAAATTTGTATCTACTGAGAAGGAAGCTAATTTGTACACAATGTTTTTGCCAAATTTGTGAAAGTCAATTTTTTTTTTTTATGTCAGGCATATCATTTTAGAATATATAATCTTCAGTGTGTTTGAACTTTCATGTGTTTTTCTCTTAGGTTAAGCTGAATGAGCGTATTATAGCCACTCCACAAGGACTCCTGATCCGCTCTGTTCAAGATTCTGACCAAGGACTGTATCACTGCATTGCAACAGAAAACAGCTTCAAGCAGACCATAGCCAAAATCAACTTCAAAGTTTTAGATTCAGAAATGGTGGCTGTTGTGACAGACAAGTGGTCACCGTGGACCTGGGCCAGCTCTGTGAGGGCTTTACCTTTCCACCCAAAGGACATCATGGGTGCATTCAGCCACTCAGAAATGCAGATGATCAATCAGTACTGCAAAGACACTCGACAGCAACATCAACAGGGGGAAGAATCACAAAAATTGAGAGGAGACTACGGCAAGTTAAAGGCTCTCATCAATAGCCGAAAAAGTAGAAACAGGAGAAATCAATTGCCAGAGTCGTAATGTTTTCATACGTGGGGCTTATGCTTCTAGTAACAAATGCTCTGTCTTCAATGATCAAATTTTGAGCAAAGAATCTTGTTCTTTACCCATGAAAAATTCCTGAGAAAAGGTGATTACTCACTTCTAGAGTGAGTTTTACATGAACTGAAATGAGCATGCATTTCGTGTATGATATTGACTAGCAGTAGACATGTCATGGTCCTCATGGTGCATATAAATATTTAACTTAACCCAGATTTTATTTATATCTTTATTCATCTTTTATTCAAAATCAATGTGGTAGCTACAGAAGTAGAATTGTTACATCCCTCAATTGAATGAGGGTAGTAACACTGGTATTTCTTCCCTACTTTGGGGGTTTAGATTTCTGATTGGCAATGATTTTACATATGAAAATAAATTCTATTTCACAACTTTCACATAGGTAAAGTCATGTAAATGCATGTGACATGACAGAATGCCATCGGAAGAAATGTAAGATAGATAATGTACAGGGAAGAGGGCATCTAAGCATTATTTAAAAACATGAGTGATTCATAAAAAGAAAATGATGAGTTTATGCTTCCAGTGAAATTACTATTTTTTTTTAAGATTGTAAAATTTGTCAGTTGCTGATACTTGTCATTGATCTTGGTTCTTTTGTTTCAGAAAGCTAAAGTGAATAATCTATACCCTAAAGATCTTTGATGGAGTTAAAGCAATGGAACATGTAGGTTTATATTGTTGTCATCTTCCAGACAAAAGTTGTTTGGAAGTTATTTAAGTTATTATAGACTTAAATATAATCTTACATTATTTAATTGATTACTATTTTGGTTCTAATTTTTTATCTGTGTGGCAAATTAAACAATATAAAAAGAAAACGTTTTGAAGTATCAAACTTCTCCATGGGGGGTGAAAACCATCAAAAAGGAAAAAAAAATAAAGTAGAAATTTTCATGTTATCATGAAGAATTTATAACAAATGTGGCTAATTTTCAATTTCAATCATCAAGTTCTATGATTTATTCTCTTTTTAAAAAAATCTCACATCATACTGATTTTTCAGTCACACCCTATCTTTTATATTCATATGTGTGTGGTGGAGAGGTGCTCCTTATGTCAAAAAAGGAAAAAGAGTATAATGTAAACAAAATTAACATTCTTTAAGAAGATCCAAGATTTCCGTCTTCATTCATATTATTTTATTTTCATTTCAAATATTCTTTTAAATAAATGTTAATACATATATTCAATGGCCTTTAAAGGTAATCGTATAAGCTTTTAATGAATAATTATGTTCTAATTGTATGTTTGGATGGTTTCATTAGAATAATTTAAAATGACTTTCTCCAAATTAAAAATTAGATGGGAGAATCATAAGAAATTCCTCATGTTCTCATATTCCTTCAAAAAACACAGCTTTTACCTTTTCATTTCATTTACTTAATTTTTTATGTTACCAGGTAAAAGCAAGAATCGTAACAAATACCTACACAGAATCTACTATAAAAATTATATTTGTAGTTAACAATTCATGAAGAAGCTAATGAAGGCCATTTTGAATATTGAGTAAAACTTTAAGAACTAAGATCAGGGCTGATGGGTATAGCTCAGTTGTACCACATGCTTTGCATGAGCAGAGCCCTAGATTCAGTCCCTAGCACCATCACTGCCACCAAAAAAATATTGTTCAAAAGAGCATGGTCATTGATTTAAGAATATCTTTATTAATTAAGTGTTGGTATATTTTGATATTCTAAAAGGGGGCCTCTAAGTGGCAAAAATAATCATCAAAATGTACAACATAAATGACAACCAACTTCATTCATTTTTAAAGCTATTCTCCCAAATGTGTGTGATTCTTAAATAATCTCTAAAGCAGTTTATTATGCAGATGGTTTGCCTGCTGAAAAGGTTTATATTTATTTTTTTCCACTCTGCACCCAAATAGCAGCACATGTCAATGTAAGGTCAACACCATCCTCTCATCAATGTTTTTATGTACAGAATTAAAGCAGAATTGTTCTCAAATTATAGTTTCTCCTGCTTCACAGAGGCCCAAACTTATACACAATATGGTGTTTAGTTTTATAATATTATTTGTACTATTTAATACCTTCTATTGTGACCATTACTAAATTGTATATACTTTTATTACTTTAAAAATATGGAAATTCTTCTTGAACAAAGCTCTGGCAAATGTAAAGAAAAATTTCTTTCTCAAAAATAGTGTTAATGTATACTGAATACTGGTGGTTGATTGGTTTTATATGGTGTAGTTTGGTAATTCAATAATTTAGTATTTTTTTCATTTGTATTATATATAAAATTTCCTAGAAATGCACTTTTCTGTTTTCAAATTGTAGGTTTGTGAATAGATTTTAGCATGATGAATCTGTCATTACAGTGAATGTGCATTATGTGTAAGAAAACAAAATGTAGGTATCACATTAAAGTTTAATTGGACATGAAAGAAATCATTTGCTTGGCAAAATAAAACACATTGAATTCCCCCAAAGATGTCTTTAGCTTTTCTTTTTAAATATAGACTTAAATTATTTTTAACATATTAGAATTTACTGAAGTTTTATTATTTTTTAAAGATTTATTTATTAACATCCATTTTTGTGAATGTAATATACATACATACTTTAAAATTTAGGGATTCTAAGCCATACATGTAAATCTCTTCTTGCACCACTAGCCCTCCTTCAAGTCTGAGCTGTAAAGAATCCAATGTCATCATTTCAAAATATTTTATACATATGTAAACAAATACATAATTTTTCCCTCATATTGTACATTAAATGATGTATACAGAGAGTTTTTCAGAGTATGTTGTGTTTACATTTAAATATATATATTTGCATTTAGTTTAGGAGTGCATAGATAGACTACCTGGAATTGAATCCAAACTCACTGTTACTTTAGGAAAGTTTTAAAATTTCTTTCTGCCTTAGTATATTACATGAGTTCATACCTGTAAAGTGTTGGGAGAGAAGATGACATATAGTAAGTAGTCAATAATATCATAATATTTCCTGTTTTAGTTATATCTTGCTAGTACAGGAAGGAATCTTTCAGTTCAATTCTGTAAGTTGAATGCCTATGACCCAGGCAGAGAACCTGTAGTCAGAGGTCAGGTAATAATTTAGCAGATACAATTAGCCTTTATAAACCATGAGTAAGCTGGGGACTCTGTTGACATATTTGAATAACAACCATCACAACTTTCTTTTGTCTACCTCTGGGGTTTCAATCTGTATTAATGTGAGTGAAGAAAAAGAAACAATAATTAAAAGTTGTCTCAATAGATCTTTCAATCTGATATTTCTGCATTATTCCTTATTTCTCAGCATCTCCCTTGCCTATATTTCAAGTTAACCTTAATTTCAAAATAATCTATGAATTTTTAGAACTTTAATGTATTTTGGATGCTTTATACCTCTGATCTAAGTGAAAAATTTTAAGGAAAAAAATGGCAATTTCCTATATCAATTCTGCTAGCTAAAGTCAAGAGAGGCCTTCAAGTTTGTTTTGCAGTCTAGTTAAGTCTGTTAAAAAGCTTAAGCCTAAACAGGAAATAAGCAGAAATGTCTATTTAGCCAGACCTTCATAGAATTCTGTGCATAATGGCAAAGCTGTAGAAAAAATTTTTCCCTTAGAAGTTTATCCTACCATCCTTTTAAATGGCCAGTTTTTGCACAAGAATAAAAACCCCAATGCAAAATGAAAACAAATCCCAACAATTTCTAAGTACAATGCCAATTGAGTAAAGTTCATTGTCAAAGAATTATTTTCTTAAGGGATTTCTGGAATATGTTGCAATTTTTATGTTTTTGCAACAATGTTACCTTCATACTGCAAAGGTAGCAGAAGAGTTAGAAGAAAAAGCTCCAAGATAAAAAATAAAAAAAATTAAAAAATTAGAAAAAAAAGTAAAAGAAAAATGCAATCTTCCTTCTAGTGACTCTATGTCTATTCACCTCATAAAATTCTCCTTCCCACATTGTTTGAATTGTGTATTTCTCAGGGCTATTACGTTGCCATGTTTGAGTGTTACTTACAGAAAATGCTATTAAAGAATGACATTATAACAAACACATTAAAACTGTTTACTCTATGTAAGCTTACCTCGCAACCCCTAAGAACAAAAGTTTCTATTCCATAAGTGTTTTTTCTCATCTGAGTTATTCATACAAAAAAAAAGTCATCCAAAGATTTCATGAGATCAAAAGCTAAATTATTTCTGCAAGGCAAAATGGATATATGATGATATTATTATGAAAATAAAAATCATCCCTATTGTTTCTTTGGATATCTTTCAAAATACATATGACCCTTGGCTCATGAGATTAATTTCCTTCCTTCATACTATAATTCTGACATTTTTACATATGGAAAAAAAGTTAACTATATTAATTTTTCTTTCTATTTATTTTGGAAGCAAATTATAATCATTTTTATTTCTCTATGATATCATGGGTAGGTAAACAAGAAATTAGATACTGAAATACCTTCTTTTGAATTAATGTGAACTGGCAATTGTTGTAAGCTGTGGTTTGACATTGACAGTCTATTTGTCTCACAAAAAAGAAAAGTGGGCCATAGGAAGGAGATGCTACCTATTACTATGCCATATGCCTGGGACACTTATTGTCACACTGAAGATGCTTTTATGTATATGTGTATGCGTGCATCCATGGATTGTGCACCATAAATTCAAAAGTAGCTATATCCTACTTATTGGTTATTCCAAAACAAATCCTATTTTCTGCTTCAAGTTCCTATTTTAACTTCCTCACTAATAAATAATATAACCTGGATATGTTACTTAAACCTTCTTTATAAATTGTTGATTTTTCTAAAATTTGAAGTATAATACCTATTTCATGAATCAGTTGTGAGAATTAATTTATTGAGTTGAGTTTATATACTGTATGCTATTATTTTTCAGTCAGGAGGGTGAAATCATTTGCTTCATTTGACCTTTGTCCTTCTTTTACTTTGGATGCATCTAAATAGCTCAAGAGATACCTAATGCCATCTATCTATATTGGCATCTGGGTGATATCATTTTTATATTTAACTTTGCCATCAGTTCACATGTGCCCTCTGAGCTGTTTCTTGTTCCTATTGCAAAGTCTGGTTCAGGGCAGGTGTGCTTTCTACTACAAACCAACACATTTTAGGTGAACAGGGATTTTACTGCTATTCTTGTACATTCTGGAAAATGACTGGAGTACCCTCCTCCCTAAAACGACTGGGGCTGGGGTGATTTTGTGTGTGTGTGTGTCTGTCTGTCTGTCTGTCCTTCTGAAATCCTGAATCTTCCCTGGATACAAACCTGGAAGTAAGTTAGAAATATAGGACCCACAAGAACCTTATGTTCATCATCCCCACCCTAGACAAGACAAATCTATACCCATGCTCTATGGAGAAAGAATTACTCATCAAATGTGATCTATGAGTTTCAGCAGTGGCTTTCAACTTTTGTCACTGAAGTATCTACAAGAGTATTTTTGAAAAGTTTGTAGCCCTAACTCAGTTTTAAGTTGACATATAGCTTTTTTATCATACAATCATGTAGTTGCAAATGATGTGATCCCAGTATATAAACTTTGACATTTTAAGATAGAAGTTACATCACTTTTCTAATGACAGCAATGGAATCAAAATATTACACAAAATTTTGTACCTATAATAGTTTAAAATAGCAAAAAATATGTTCTTTTTATAACAGAAATTTAATATTATTCCCATGTTTCCTATTTATTCTAATCTATTTAATCCAATTTTATTCTAACATAATAAATTTCATAAAATGTGTAATAGATTACTATCATACACCTCTACAGCAAAAATATGTATATCATTTAATTCATATTTCAAATATATTATTACAATAAGGTGCTAAGAATTACCAGTCTTCTTTTAGATTAAATTAAACTGATAAGTTATAACAATTTGACCAAAGAATATAACTATCTTCCAAATCTTAAAAATCATTAAATACAGGAAAAAAAGTGAATCTTAAATGAAAATGTATACAATGAGAAGGATAGAGCTTCTTTTTCTATCATTAATTAAATTACCTGTGGATGAGTATCAATTGAGAAAATGAAACAAAATTC